CAACCGATGTATGTCTATAAAGAGGAGCCCATTATGTCATTCCCGGCGTACATGTCATACATCGGCGGACTCTTTGGCCTCTGGTTTGGCACTAATGGCCAGCAATTGATTGTCGCCGTAATTGACAACCGATTATGGCTTTGGTTTTGGCGTCAATTTGTCCGAAGGTTTTAACGTAATAACAAAATTCAAAGCATAAATGATGATTGACTTAACAAGATAAAAATTTAATTAAATTTTTTAATGCCATTTTTGGCATTTTACACATTAACAAAAAACAACCTACTTTATACAGTACATGGCAATCCCTGGTAATTTTTTATTTAACCCTCATCAAGCATACGTGATCTAGGCTTAGTTTTAACAATAAACGTGCGAATTTCCATTGGGTTAATAATGACCGACAGATCCGTAGTGTTTAGCTCATGGCGTTTGGGCTCAAATCGGTTATTGGTATTAGTTTCCCGGAATCGGAGCCGCCGTACGGCCAGTATATTCTCGGTGGCGCTCAAAGTAGTCTCCAACACGTCGTACACCACAAACTCGCGGAACACATCCCGGAGCTCAACCCTCACGGGTGTTGACCACTCGCGCGACTCATTCCACTGGTAAAAGTGCTCCAACCGTAACAATAGGGTCCGATTCGCCCATCGCTCCAGTGTTAGCAAATGTATATTACGGGGCAGCGGGTTATACTGTGCCGTATAGTTGGTCCGGTGCTCCTTATGATAATTACCCGGCTCGTCAGCCAACTCGCTAAACGTGACCACCGGCGCCATCATTAGCCTATTGGCGGCTTCCCGATGCAGCTCAGTAGCCGAGCCGAGTGTTGCCAATTGTAGCCAAAAGCGACCCCTTATAGTCAGACCATTGCCATCAACACCCGGTTCGTCAAGCGGTTCGCCGACACCCATACCATCGTCGTGTAGTACACGCCGGTGAACCATCAGCTCGATCTGGCCCTCTCTGAACCCGGTGCCGCCTTGTGCCCTATCATTTAGGATAGTCAACTGCAAGCCGGTCGCCTCGTCCTTGATGGCTATCCAATTGGTCACCGGGTAGTAGTTGCCCGACACCGGCTGAGTAACAGTCAGGTTATATGTGGGCCGATAGTCGCGTCGGCGGCGCATCGTTTGTCGTCCATTACTATCGGTGTAAAACACGCCACCAGTGGTCAGGTTTGTCTGCCACCGGAACACAAGCTCTTTGCCGTCCCCGTCGGCCACCGGTATGGGTCCGCACGTGTAGTCAAACTCGATGGCGTCGCTCCGGTGGTCTATACGTATTACTTGGGACAGGCCTTCCTTAATCTTATGGTGCACTTCCGTGAGCAGTGGACTCTCCACCACTCGCGCCCTGTAGTACCAGTCGTTAGGGTCAATCACATCGGCCACCTGTCGCTCGGGTCGGAACACGTAGGCCCCGGACGCCCGGTTTGGGCCATAATTGTTGCCCTCAAAGGACCGATAATAAGCAAACTCCTGACGCAACGACACCGTCCGACCCGAGTTGCGAAACTGCAGCGCCTGTAGCCGCCCGTACCCATCGAAAACCACGTTAAAGCCCGGCGTTTGTACCAAAAAGTCACGCTCCACTTTACGCACTACCGATGCCGTCCGGGAATCGCCGCCTGTGTCCTGACGTTTTAGCGTATAAGTGACAAATCCGAGCGCCGGTACCGACACTTCAAACACTAGTTCCTCTACCGCTTCGCTGACCCGCTCTTCGAGCAACAATACGGGCTCCGGTATGGGAAACACGTAGGTCTGGTTAACTGGCACTCCCGTCGGGTCCAGCACTTGTACCGACCAATTGCTTATCGGCAGTCGCAAGATGTGCCGCACCGGCTGTCCGTACGGGTTATACACCGTAACGGTTAGCGATGTGTTCAACGACTCGGTCCACTCGCAGGCGCTAACATTCAACTGTTGGCAAAATAGCTGCTCCGGTAGGGACTGGACAGTCCGGTTGGCCATTGAGTTAGCGGTCAATTTGCCGACAGCCCTGTCCACCACCCGTTCGCAGCCGGCAATACTCTTGGCCAGTTTGAGGGCGTAATCATCGGCCACGTGCTGTTTCTCGGTGCCCGTAATAGCATCATGGTGTTGCATAACACCCTGCCATTCGCGTAGGGCAGTCATCTCCTTATCGTAAGCGCCGCCCATACCGGCCAATACGTCCAACTGTTTGCACACCTGTAGAAAGTTGTTGCCAACCCTTTCGTACCGTTTGAGCGCCGGACGGGACGTAAAATAACCCGTCCAATAGGTGTTGTTGTCCGAAGCGTATGGGAAAAAGTCGTCTGATTTAGTGGTGAGACTGTTGTTGAACTGATGGACAGCCGCCACATAACAGGTGGGCGTCGAGTAAAACACGTTTATATGGGATCCGTTACTTTGCCGGGCGTTGGTGTACCGGATCAGTTTGTCCATGTTCGTGAACCATTTGTTGGCCGACTGCATAGGGATTTGTGTTAGATAATGCACTTAATAGTTATTCATACAGCAGCTATAAACTTAACAGTGAAAGCAACTTTATTTTATTAGCTAAATATGTAGACTATGGCTGTCATGTGGCACCGGTAGGCAAACTATGTTATACCTGAAAATTAAAGTCCGTACCCATAGGAATGAGCAGCTGATTAGTGGAGTAATTGCCCGAATACTCGCGAATGTAATTCACAAACTTGTCCACAATTTCATTCACATTATAGTCTTCGGACTCCGGGTCGTCAATAATGGGCTCGGCGTCGTAGTTGTCGTCGTCTTCCCATTTAAACCCTTTGGGCGGGTTGTATAGATCGCCGGCCATGGCGTGGGTCCATATGTCGGCACTCTTACCAATATCATCCGAACCGTGCCATATAAACTCCATGCGTTTCTCCGCCGCCCGGAGCTTTCGATCTTGATAGTCTAATCGGGCAAAAAACAGGCCGTCAAAGCCAAACATGGCCAACAAATTGGCCGATTCTCGGCTGTGGCCGAACGGGTCGATCTGCCACCCAATGCGCGGAACAACACATGGGCCAAACATGTCCTGTAGGCGTCGATGGCCCCAGGTCATCTGATCGATAATACCCTGATAATGGGTGATAGCCTCGTCGTTCATCACCCAACCACCGTTAATGAACTCCAATCGACCCTCATTGACCAGTGCGCGCACCTGTGCCCGGTACTTGTCGTCCTGTTCGCGCCACCACTTCCAGAAGAATGCCGTCTCAACGTAGATGAACCGACGGTGCTCTTCCCGCAGCAGCGACTGTATCATTGAGTCGATGATATACTGTACGCCCGCCTTCTGGTGCTGCGATTGTGCGCCGTAGTAATACTGGTCCACAGTCTTGAGCCAACCGACGTCGTCGTGGGTGTGGGCGACGAGATGTATGTTTAGTTTGGAGGGTACGGGTGCTGTGCAGCGCGTATTGTCGCACCGGTTGTATACCACGGGTTTTATGGGCGGTTGTGGCGGTGGGGCGGGTGTTGTGGTGGAGAGGGAGGGACTGACTGGACTGGTAGTGTTGGTGATGGGAGTTAATGAGGCTGAGAAAGTGCCGTTTATGCTGAGCAAGAATGCCGTGCCGTTAGTGCTTAACACTATTGTTGAGCCGTTGACCGATATGGGCAGACACACGCCATGACCCCAACCCCATCCCGACCACCACCAACCCAATTGACCGGTACTAAAACAACGATAAAGTTTCATCAGGTGCACTGGCCACAGAGCATAAAAGACCGGGTCACGACCATGCGACGCCAATAATATTAGGTATAATGTTAATTGTGTCATTATTAATAGTGTAATTAAGCACAAACATACACACAATATTATAATTAATTAATTAATTTGTAAAACTTATTTTATATTTTATATTAACTTTTCTAAAGTTTCATGTTTGAAGTGTTTAGTAAAACATATTTGCAATAATTTATTTTATTAGATTTACAGTACTGTAAAGTACTGTACAAGTTTATATATGCGTGTATTGGTTAGTGTGATATAGTCATTGAAAAATGTTAATTTTTTTGGTTTGGTTTAATTTATTCCATATAACTTTTGCATGTAAATTGTGATAAAAAACATTATATTAGAAATTGTTTTAATGTCGGGTATAATAGGATTTATACAAAGTTGGTATTACCAACCATGGACAAATCCCAAGACAATAGCCACAATTAGACTGACCAGATGTCCAGAAATGGCCTGGATTGTCCCTGAATTAGATGGCCTGTCCAGAATTTTAAAAATATTTTAAACATTAAGTCTATGGAAACGTCCAGGATAATATAGCTAAAATTAGTAAAATGTCCAGGAATTCAGGAAAATAGGCCTGATTTTTGCCCAAAATCCAGAATTGTCATAAACTCGTCTGGTCAGTCTAGCCACAATATCAGATTCACGAATACATAATCTTTTGAATAAAAATATTTTCTTAACAGTATCTGAATAAGTGATTGCATAGAAAATTACTTTTGACATTGATAATATTTCTAATGTATACATAGAGTTAAATAATTTTTAATTTTGGTTATTTTCTAATATTAATATTTTAATTATATAAGGGTGTAACTCAAATAAAATAACTGCAAAATATTTATTTAATAGGTGTTGCCTCTATATACAGCGAAAACATTAAAAATAATTAGTAAATTTTGTGTAATATTAAAGGAAATCTAGTTGGGTGGAGACACTTTTATTCCTATATTATATTGTCTTTTCATATAAATTAGATTTTTTTTAATTTATCTGTTTATTTTACGAGTGTATTATAGATTAAAGCTATAAGTAAAGCCTCTATTTTATGGGAATTCCCGATTAAATTTAGTTATTTGCATACACGGGAATAACATCCCATTAGTCTCGGGGTTATAAAGGCTCCAAAATATATCATTTTTATTTTCCAATTTTGGCATATTTTGCAAAAACTCCCGAAATACGTATTTTATTCGCGATTTGTCCGAAAACTTCGTTTTTGTTAAAAATAATAAAGAATTTAGCATATTCAGATATAAAATCTAATAAATGTTGGCGTTATATGTGAAATTATTTTAATTATTATACCAGTTAACACATTTATTATTGCAATATTAAAAGTATGTTGTGATTTCATGATCACATATACCGAGGTCTCGCCCCTGGAGGAATAATTTAATGCTGTCCCGCAATACACCGTTTAGGGCTAAGCATTGACTAATACACTATAACCTCCCTATGAAATGCACAACAAGTTTTATTAAATGACTTAATCTCGTTGTTTTAACAACTGGAGCTTATTGTCAACATTTATTATAATCATTATATTAGTTAACAAAATTAAACATGACGCTTTATGGGGGTAAATTTAAAATTGTTTTATTTGTAATTTAATTAACTTTAATAAATTCTCTACTCTCCATAACAATAATCAACAATCCCTTATTCTTCCATAAATTTTTCAATTTTTTATTTCAAATATTAACGCGATTTTTAGGCAAAAAACTTTGACACAATGAATTTGAGGGGGTCTACAACTTTTAATACCATTTCTCACACAGACAATAGAAGTAGTAGGAATCGACAATAATCTGTAAGGGGTACATCGGGGCAGATGATAGTGTGGTTATGAATTTTATATCCTATGCTGTTAAACTTCTAATGTAGTATCATTTTTAAAAACATTTTTTGTGTTGATTTTTTCAGCACAAAGATTGTCTAAAATTCAATTTTCTTGACCTCTAGCTCCTTCATATCACGTGAAAGTGATCCAAAATAGTATATTCACTGCAACCCTATTCCATGAACATATTTCAGCCGACATATATGGAATTAGAGTCTTGATCGAATAGTGGCCACTAACTTTGTGCAACCAACTTCGGTTGGGTATCAAAGCAGAGGCCACGAGTGCGGCAACTTTTTGACCACCCCAATCAGTGATATTCACCCATAGAATTGTTATGGTATATTGTTTATATTTTTAGGGCAACACCTTTGAATAATACAAGATTTTCAAATTTTTGTAAAATAAATATCGAAAATTGACCATGTTCGGGGATTTACTGGTTATCAATGGGAAATGATATAAAATAATTGTCCAGGACAAAATAACCTACACTCATTCTATTTTTGTGCAAAAAATAATTTGGCATAAAAAGCACATGTTTTATTGTGAAAATATTAATTTTAAAATAGACCTATTAATACGTCATGACTTCTTTTGGGGACTAATAATTATATTAAACATTTATTTATTTATTTTGTAATTGATAACTTAAAAAATTATTTTTAAAACTATATACGGACGTTATAATGTATCATAATGCTCTCCCTTGTCTGTGTATTGCGGGACTACATTAAATTAACCCTCCAGGGGCGAGGACTTGGTATTTCAAAATTAGCAAAATTTATAAAAATCAGAATTTAAGACATTAATTTTCCGCTTTATTACAGACGGGCAATATGATGAAATCACTTTAATACAATTTATAACTCATTTTTAAGCAATAAAAATACCCAATAACATCATTTACATGCTTAATTTTATAAGTTTTTGTTCCCGATTTTATTCCCCAATTTATCCTTTTTATACTCCCGATTCCCGCTCGAATTTCAGAGTTTTTAGTCCCGAAAAATAGAGGCTCTAGCTATAAGTGTTATTTGAATCAATTAAATACTATTTATTAAACAGATGTTGTTTTGATAAAAAAATATTTAATTAAATTATGTTATTATTATCATTATTATTGAGCCGTTACGACAAAATTTATGATTAATTTATTGCATTAATATTGACATACAGTATATTTAATCATATTAATCCATTTAAGTCTAAAACTCCTTACAAATTAGATAAGCGCTGGATTGTATAAAATTTTATGTTTCATTAATAAATAAGATTATAATTTAATTAAAAAATGGATTTATGGCAGATATATCAAGTTTTAGAAATATTGAAATACAATTTTATTAATTTATTTTACAAAATAATTGCATTAATTGTTATTATAACAAAAATACAAAACTTAATTCAATACATTCATATGATTATAATTAATAATATTAAGTGTGCATCATTTATTAAAGTAATAACAAAAGTATTAAGCTTATGTGTGCTATCCTATGGAGCCATTGAATTAACAATTGAATACTTTAGTTATCCCAATGTCTATAGCGTTAACGTAAAGCCGAGCAATGATTTGCTTTTACCTGAGATTACAATCTGTACGGAAAGGGATGTGTTTTTTGACAAAACGAGGATTAATACAGAGTTTGGATTAACCCATGAATACGAGTTGTGGAAACAAAAAGCAAAATTTTTAACAAAACATATGATAAAAGAAAAGTGCAAAGATAATAGTGACAAATATCCTTATGTTTGTCAATTACCGACTTTTGTTGAAAATTATTATTTAAATCATTTTTATCATAAATACTTGACGCAAATTTTTGCCAACTATTCGTTCAATGATTTATTCAATCGATTCTCAATTAATGGCAACGAATTGATTAACTGTTCGGCAAAAGTGGGCATAAAATACAACAATGAGTGCAAAGTGTCCGACAAATGTGTCTCTAATGACGACAACACTCAAAACGTGTCATAAATGCCATGCTTTCTGAAACCCGTTTGTTTTAAGTACTTCTCAAACGACGGAAATACTAATCACTTCTCTCTCATTGACGACCAATTCATTGAATTTCGCATATCATATGAAAAACTACAACATTTTCTTTTAAGTGACACTCATTTGGATATCAATAATTCAAATAAATATTTATTTTTAAACCCAGATCAAGCTAATTTTTTAAAACCAGATAAATATCCATTTGACCCAACAAAATTTTATTTAAAAAGTTATAATTTTGATGAACACTTAAAATACCGAGTGTTGGCATAAATGCGAGAATTAATATATATAACACTTACGTGAACCGATTGTCCACACCTTATATGCAATACTGTCAACACAATACAGGTAACAATATTTCAAATTGTGTAATCTAATTAACTAATTAAAAATTAAATGTAATATTAATTATTATTAATTGTAATTAAGGTGGGGTTTTTGGAAATAGAAATAGTGAAAATAAATATAACATGTAAATGTAAACATAATTGTAAAATAGAGATAATTCATTCTTCAATTAACGATTGCAATTATCAATATGCTCACGACTCTCTATAAAGTTTAAATAAACTTAACTTTCACTTACCATGCTTATTTGACCTATACTAGTAGTGTCAAAATGGGTATTTATTTTGTAATAACAAGTTTATTAAGCGGATCTCGAGATACTTGCAATTGTCCATTAGTAATCATATTGAATTCAAGCGTATTAAATTTATTTTAAAATATTACAATTACATTAATTATAGCCTAAAATTGCATATAAAATAAATTGACAATCTATTTATAACATACAAAAGTTTTGTTAATATTTTAAATTTAAGTATTGTCATTTATTATAAATAATCATCATTAAAATATAAAACAGGTTCACAATCAAATTGTTACTGGAATTGCATTAACAAAGTGTTCAATGAATTACACAAATGTATACCAAATCCATATTTGAATCACAATTTTATTCTCCAAAATGCGAGACAAACAGAGTATAAGTTTTGCAATAATTCTATGGTTTTCAATGAATCTTATATTAAATACCAAAAATGTAGAGATCTTTGTGTTAAAGATTGCCATAAGATTTACCACATCTTAGAGTTGGAT